TTTCAGTTTATTAATTCATAAATAAATGCCAATTTGTTTACAGTGTCTCTTCTCATACAGAGTAGGTAAACTTTTTGTTTGTTTTTCACATTTTACAAATGTGTATATTCTGCTGTGGCCATTCATGTTACAATTTTGTAACTCACAAGTTTCTTTTTAATTAGGCTTTTGATTTGTTTTATTTTTGTAGACAGAATATATTTCAGTTAATTTTGCACCAAGATTTTACACCAAGAAATTGTTTAGATTGCTTTGGCAAGTTTTAGATCCTCTCGTTAATTTAGGAGATAATTTTTTGGTCAAACGTCTGATGTGAGAACGGAGGTGGTAAAAAAAAGATCACTTTTGATCATTTTTTAGAGTCTCTCACAGCCGATTAACAAAAATCGGTGTCCTTTTTCAGCCGCAGCTCTGAGGTTCTTTACAGCAGAACTTCATCAGAACCAAGTAAAAACGCATCTGTTTTTCTGACTTCAGTTTAGATGCATGCGGTGTAGATTGCAATGTCTTTATCGTTGCAACCAAGCTAAACTAAAATGCAGAAGAAGTGTGCAGAGCATCAGCCCCAAACCATTTTTCACAAGTTGTGACAACTGTTACAGACTGCAGCCATTCTGTGAGATTGGCTGCAGATGCTTGTTGTCATCATGATGACATTGCCATAGTCCCACTGCTCATCGTAATGTACAGATTTTTTTGTACTTTATATATTTTTGCAGGTAAGAAGGTCTGCAGCTATGCACGGCGAGGTTGCTCTCACTAGCGTCATATTTGACTTTAAAATACTTTGAAAACAGCTTCATGGTTAAGTCTTATCCTGTGGGTGAAAAAAATCAAATCAATCAAATCTGCTATAACAGGTTTCTTTTCTTATCCTTTGCATGATGTTTTTCAAAATAAAAGTTGTGTAAAACTAAAAGTCAAATGACCTCAAACATATAAAGCTTTACTTCTCTAAGGGTGAAGGTTGGCATTGATTCTCCACGCAATATTCCAACGATGAATATTTTAAACTGGGCCACTGACTGATTTGCTGCCACATCTCGAATGCGGCTTAATTTATCCAAAGGACATCATTCCAAAAGAACAGTTTGTTCAGACATTACTCTGCTGATCGAAAGGCACAGTGTTGAAGTAGAGCAGGGCTTTTTGCATTTCAAACATTCCAAACTTGTTCAGTCTTGGGCAGCAAATGTTAGACGAACATCCTAAATAAACAGACTGTAAACTAGCTTTACCAAGGAAAGGCTGGAAAAGTCTAGATAAGGTGCTGGACTGGTTGTTTTCTCTAGATGCAAGTTGATGCACACTGCATGTCAGCTGGCTGAAAAACTTTGAAAGGTTTATATTAATTGCTTCCAAGAAACACAACTTTGGCCGTTTTTGGGAAGTTTTTCATTCAAAACAGACACAGTATGATATTAATTGTCATAATCATCATGGCACACGGTTTTAGCAGCAGGAGGACTTTCTCAGTTTGCCCTAACAATCAGATCAGGATGTCTGATTGTGTAAATCCTGCGATACCATAAAAATGTGGTACTTTTGACTGAAGGTTATCGTAACCCCATTATGTCCTGGTGATCTACACAGAGCGGCGTTCAGCTGAAAAGTGTGAATGAAGAAACATGACCATAAGAAATGGGAAGTTTAAAGTAAACTTAGGTAATACATAAGAAGTCTAGTCAGTGTGGAGACGAGGTTTCCCCATCAGCCACTTGCTCTTACTTCAACTATTGCTTCGACTTCTGCTGAGCTTATATCATTTATCTTCCCACAGTCCTACTTCATCTTCAATTTCTGCAAAATGACAGAAATGTTGTTTGCTTAAACATCGAACATAAACGAGGACAACGCTATCACCCCTTTTGGCCTTCTAACACAGGAATCTTCTCATTTATCTCACTGCTCAGCAACTTACAGCTTTTTCTGTTAAAAAAGTGGATTAAAAAATAAAGAAAAAAAAAACCTTTTCCCATAAAGTGAAAGCAGAAACCTTTTAATGTTGCTTCTCCCGGTTTGTGGAACCTCCATATTCCTCCTCAGATCAAACGTGCTCCCCCACAGCCCATTTGAAAAAATATATTTTTTGGCCTTTAAATTTGTTTTTCTTTTCTCTAATTTAAACTCAATTATTACTACTGTACTTTATTTAAAGTTCTTACTGATCCTTTTCATTGTTTTGCCATGCTCTCATTCTTATATGTGCAGCGCCTTGTTTAAGCAGTGTTTAAAGTGTTGCTATAAATAGCAGGAAACAGGTAGCAGTTAATACAAATACTAACTTTAAAGTTGTAGAGAAGCGGCTGTTCCAACCGTTGCATACCGAATTCTCCTGATTGGTGCACGACTTTACACGCAAGCAAGTTTGGTTGTGGCCGGTTTGTCTGAAGCATCTTGCTAACCAGTTAGCAACTTAGTGCTAGTAGATTCCCAATAGGATATTCCATTGGGACCAAGTAGCACTAAATTGGTGACTTAGAAACAACACTGCCAAGGAACGCTATGGACAGAGGAAACATGCAAGAGGAGGAGAGTTTAGTGTCGGAGGTCATGGATGAGTCTCCTCCATCATACATTTCTTATTTAGAGGAGGAAAGCGGAGATGAAGATGTTGTGGAAGAGGACGCCAGGGCTGCACAAGCTTGGTTTGGTGTAGAAGGCTTACAGCCGTACATGTTTGAGCCCTTGCCTCGCAAGGCTACCAGTTCTGTTAGCTCTATGCCTGCTGAAGACACAGACGTCCATCCCCATGAACACTGGGACGGAACTCAATGGTTAAGTCTATCATTCTTATATTAACCATTGCGTATATTAGCTGCGACATATGAATCAAGATGCTATGACCAACAAAAATGTGATTGACAGACGAAAGTTGATATATGATTGGCCGAATTTAGGTGTTCAAGCTGATGTATAACTAACTGACCTGCAGAAGATAACGGAAAAAAAAAACTGATTTTAAGACAGGATTTTTTTTTTATTGAATTTTTTTAACTTCTGGGACAATATGGTCGGATAAAGAGTTAATTTATACACATGTTTAATCCAGAATTATTTGACATTTAAATATGTTTTCCCTATGAATTTAAATTAAAAAAGATATTTACTTTCAGTTAAGGGAAAAAAAACATCAGGGAAGCAATAGAGCCTGTGTTAAAAAAAAAAAAAAAAAAGCCACTTTAAAAGTGAAGGTTATCTCATGGAGAAACCATTCAAGTCCTGTCAGCACATGATTTTGTCTGCTGAACCAAGTGTAAGATAGGAGGATAGGCCCAAGCCAAGAACCTCAAGCTTCACACAGTATTTAAAACTCTTATTCTTAACTTAAAAAGGAAGTACTTATTAAATTGAAATGAGTAAAGTATTTAGTTCTGTTATTTCTGTTGTGGGAAAAAACACTTCAGAAGAGGTGACCATATATATATATATATATATATATATATATATATTTTTTTTTTTTTTTTTTTTTTCCATAATATAAAGTTTGGGTTACAGCTGCTCAGTGGCACAGTGGGTAGCACTGCTGCCTTGCAGCAATAAGGTTCTGGGTTCGATTCCTGGCCTGGGGTCTTTCTGCATGGAGTTTGCATGTTCTCCCTGAGCATGCGTGGGTTCTCTCTGGGTACTCCGGCTTCCTCCCACAATCCAAAAACATGACTGTTAGGTTAATTGGCCTCTCTAAATTGTCCTTAGGTGTGAGTGTGTGCATGAATGGTTGTTTGTCCTGTTTGTCTCTGTGTTGCCCTGCGATGGACTGGCGACCTGTCCAGGGTGTATCCTGCCTCTCGCCCATTGACTGCTGGAGATAGGCACCAGCACCCCTTGCGACCCCACTTGGGACAAGCATGTAAAGAAAATGGATGGATGGATGGGTTACAGCATTTGAGGTTCACAACAGAAAGCATGATTTGTACCACAGCTAATTAACCGTCAAACCAACGCCATTAAAGATGGCTTTTGGATGAGTTCAAACTGCGTTTTAAGGTCTCCATTTCATATCAAGTACTTCTGATCAAACCTAAACAGTTTCTTTCAAACCAGTAAGATTTTGTGAGCAGTTTGTCAAGTTGCAAAACACAAAAAAAGAACATTTTATGTTTTGTTTTTTTACACTTTACCAGTTTAAAATTAGACTTCATTATACAAACATAGAAAGATTGACTGAAGTATTCTACACCGGATCTGGATTAACGCAAAAATGTTGATTTAACACACTTTCCCTTGGTCACCATGGCTTAGTTTTTAAGACTTAAGCCTCAAATCTTGTCTGATCTCCTTCCTGTAAACCGAATATCATTTTGGAACTTCTCACATGAGCCGATTGTACCTGAAAACCAAACCAATCCAACTCTAATCCAGCTAAATCCAAAAAAAAGCTGTAAGGTCCAGTTTTGATGTTAAATACAGCAGGCAGGGTTCTAAGGTTACTGCTTAACACGGAAAGAGGAAGCTGTCAATCATCAGCCTTGTACCCATTTCATTTATTAATCAATTTTTTTTTTATTTAACTTGCTCAAAAGTTAAAGCCAAGACACGATTATGAGAAACAAACATCCAAAAAACACTAGCATGTAAAAAAAAAAAAAAAAGTCATCAGTTTAAGTCTTAGATAAGTGTCCTTATTATATTTACCTGAGTTCATTTCCTCTTTTGATGTGAAGAAAAAATAGCCACACAGACTGGAACTTCTCATTCTTATTATCTTAAGTTATGTTCAACGAAAACTTTGCTCTAGATCTGCCATCTAAAACAATGCAAGAGCCTTTATTCTGCAAACTGAACAGCAACCAGGTCAAATAGCTGTTAAATACAGCAGCAACTATAGCAGAACACCCACATAGAGCCAAGCAGCGCTTCTGTCGCTGATAGGAAGCAGCCAGCTTATGAAAACACCCTAAACTCTCCAAACAGGGACGTAAATAAGAAACAATCATTGAAAAGAAGTAAAGAAAGTCTTTTTATAGTAGATTGACGAAGCAGCTGCCTGTAGCTCTTACCTGAGTGCTGAAGCTTGCAAGTCTGATGGAAGGACGCCTCTCTGTCTCTGTGGATCTGCAGAGAAACAGGAAGACATTGAATCAGCCTCATCAACATGTGATCGTCACCCACAAAGAAATAATGATGCAGAACGACATGTCTGTTAAGAAGTGCTGCTCTGCGTCCAGAACAACACAGAGAGGCAACGGCACGACCACTATTGTGAATGCTGGAGTGTCGGCGGGATCTAGAAGCTCCTCTCAGGCTTCATTTTGCTCACAGAGGAAGTTACTTAAAAAAAAAAAAAAACATTCTCTACATACACACATGCAGCTTTTAAGATATGTCAGATTGGCAGTAAACTCAGGACATTGTTCTGCTTCCTCTATGCCCTTACTGTCTATCTAGCAGTGGGTGTGAGCATGTGTGTAACAATGAGGGAGCAGGTTTTAGCAGAAAGAGCCACAGGCAGCCTAATCACCACAGCTAAGGCAAAAGCTTCAACAGTTTGACCTAAGCCGCTCAAGTGTGAACATTACAGAGCCTCAGAGAAGCTCTATACGTCTTAATAAACACTATCTACGAGTTGGAGATAAAACTGTTCCCATTTAAATCGCTCCCTCACATAAGCATCATGAAATCGCCTTTTTTCCCTGTTTATTAAAGCCACGTTGCCAAAGGTTGTTAAGCTGAGAGCTACATAACAACAAAAGTGTTGTTATTATGGTGTTTTCCTTTGCTTTGTTCCAGTCTTTCTTTAGCTCGTTTCCTCGCCTTCGTAATTCACCCTATTGAACTTCCACCCCCAGTAAGCTCACGCTAACTCTGGCTCAGATCAACAAGCTTCAGACTTAGCCTTTAAACATGGCTGTTTCAGATCCGTACAAAAGGGATCTTAAGTTGGCATAAACAGGCTTAAGATCAGAGGGCAATGCCTTTTTTTCACCTAGTAAACAAAGATGTCAGATCAGGTTTCCCTGAATGACTGTTTGCACGCCAAGGACTCTGGGACCTTTCATGGAGAGATTTTCTGTCTCCCCAAAAAGGGAATTATTTGGGGACTTTTTCTCAATTCCTCCTTGATCTAGATTCTCTAAATCTATTCTTGATTTAGAGAATAGTGCCTGATGTTACACAGCAGGCTGTTACTGGGGTAGTACAACAAACAACTCTTATTTAAAGTAAGAGCGATGGAGGAAGATGGGAGGCAACATAAGGAAACTCTGAGACAGTTTAGGACTAAGAAGCAGCTGTGTGAACAATAATGTAAAGATTGCACTGATACGCTTCATGCAGTGATTTTAATCCCCTTCCTCCAAGAGGATGTGAGGTATAATCATGACGGCGCCCTGAGGCACTCTTATTAAGTTGGAGAGGGTTTTTGTTTTAGGGGCTTGCCTGCTATCAGGCGAATCTGTTGTTGAAGAGAGATTTTCAAACTAATATGGACGAATGTCTCTGATTCGTGCACCATACTTCAACACTTTGCTCTCAAACAGGAAAAAGATCTCTAAATGATCATAAAATGCACAACTTGTTAAGTCCAGCAACTTAAACTAGTGTTTAACCTTTATAAGAAAGTTTATTGGGTATGGATTACAAGCCAAGGTTATCAATATTAATGCAAACATGTAGGCTGTGTCCAAATGTCCGCCCTAATCACTATACAGGGCACTATATAGTGCAGAGGTCACGGATTAGCGGAATCTGGACCCAGCCTGATTTAAAACATTTATAAATTACCACATCATGTCCGACTAAAGTGTCTAACTTCACTTGTGCCGCTTCTCCTGTTAATACGGTAAAGCCAAAGTGTCCTGGACCAGGCTGCATTTGATCCAAATTAGCCAATGAGCTGCTGTCAGTCTGGGTTGCTGCTGCTGCTGCTACTATTAAACACAACAGGCAAACCTGTGGCAAGCCGGGCGATGGGAAAGAAGGAGAAGATGATGAGAAAAAGAGAGCAGAGAAAGTGTGGACTGCTGGAAGAACTGCGGTGAACTGGTGAAAGAAAAGTGAAATGGTGCTCAAAGATGATCCTGCACATTTAGAGGATGTTTGGCTCAACCTGCTGCTGTGAAGCAGGATTCTCCACCATGAACAGAATCAAAAATAAATATGGATCCAGGCTCAAAATGAGCACCTTGATATGTGCTTTAGAATGGCTTAGTCTCCATTCAAACCCAGGTTTAAAGCCTTGCTGGGCAGCATAAAGCCCACTGCGAACATTGAGACAGAAAAAAGAAAGAAAGAAAAAAAAACGTCAGTTCAGGTGTTTTATAAAATATTTGAATCAGGAAGTTGTCTATACTCCAAACTGAACTACTGTTGTCCTCTAATAAAATGTATATTTTAAGTTTTTTTTTTTTTTTTTTTTTTTTATTCAATGTATAATATGGCTGCATAAAAATCTAATTTCATTTCAGTGTTAAATTCTGTTTAAAGTAACAGATCTAATTAAAAACATCTCCGGACGTTTACTGGTTGATAATTTTCTTTATTCTGACCCTGCTGATTTTTAATTGGTTACCCTCGATAAAACTGGTTAAGACACTTCAAATGAGTGTCCGAAAGTCTAGTGGATTAAAAAAAAATTGTTGTCCCTGAAATTTCCCACAATGCACCTTGAAAAGGAGTAATCATCCATGGTCACTAGTGCGAGCAGAAATATTCTGGAATGCTTTGCAAGTAGAGCTATCCTTGCAAAGCATTATGGGATTTGCTGTCACAGCGGCCCAGCGGGGAGGGAAAAGTAGTGATCATCTGTCTGAACGGTCAGTTAACTGAGTTTGCTATAAAGTTCACTATATAGTCCCCACTCTATATACTGACTGAGGGATTTAGGGGTTAGGGTGGATGTTTGGATGCAGCCATAGAGTTTTATTGCAGATTTAAAGCAACACTGTGTCACTTTTAGCCATTAGAGGGGGTTAGATCAGTGAATTCCAGGTTTGCGTCCCTAAAAGCCAATGGAAACACTCCACTATCACATCATAACTTCCATCTTTGTTTTCAAATCTGATAGTAAACCACTTTGGACCAATAGGTTTAATTTATATAGACAAGGCCACATTCAACCCTAAAGATTTAATCCTAAATCTGAGAACATAAAAATCTGTTTCATCAGGAAAGTGCTACATCCACTTAGCTGCATACGTAAATATATAAGTTAGCTAATATGGGTACAAAGTTACGCAGTGTTAGTCTAAATAGGGTGCCTCAAGAAAAAAAAAAATCAGGATTGATGATGTAGTAAGTTTATATTCCAGTCCTTTATTAATCCAATTATTTTTTTGTTGACAAACAATGACAATTATAATATTTGAAAAGGCAGACTAATTTCCATTCATCTTCTCCATCGGGGTCTTATGGAGGTGTATGTCAATTTCTTTGGCCTGTCAGTTTAAGAGTCATGTCTTGGTGAACCTTTTGTTTCAACAATAAACCATATGGTTGTACTTCATAAGGTTTTAACATTTTTACAACTCTTGGGTAAGGCATGGTATGAACTCCATACAAGACAGAGTCAGGGAGTGGAAGGTTATTCTGGATGCAAGCAACTCACCTTTAAATTATGAGTTCCTAACCAAGCTTTTACATATTTTGTGCCAAAGACAAATAACATCTTTAAAGTAATGAGCACAATATTTTAACTACAACATTGTTGTGTTTTCAAGCTCATATAGACGTTTTATTCACAGGGTAACTTTTTTGCCGTAAGTGAATCTCAGGTGCATGTTTTAAGAGGTTTGCTTACGTTTTACAATAGCCTTTTATTAGCTTGCATGAAAACAGCAACACAACAAAAAACAACCCAACAAAAAGACACCATATCTAAAATAAATAAATAAATACTCTAGACCGGATGAGAGACTCCAAACAACCAGCAATGTCAACCCCAGTGGGGCTTTAAGAAACTAACCCTGTGCTCTCCCAGCGCTCTCTATCGACTGGCCCACTGACCCAGAGAAACACTGAGCTCCGTTGTTCAGGCCTGGGAGCCGTGAGTTAGTGACTGGCCACTCTAGCTTGGCTCAAAATATACACAAAAACCCCTGATAACTGCATGCAGAATGGTAACATTCTGCACCCATATTACCTATGTTGTCTTAGCTACTTCATCAAGTCTGTCTTTCACAAAACAACTCCAACACACACACCGATACAGGCAAGTTTTTTCCTTCTTTCCCTCGCAGCTGTGTTCGGATATCAAACAGGGCCCGCTGAGAGAGAACAAACTCGCTGACGAGGACAGATTAGCTGGTCACAGAGGGCTCCAGCAAACACACACAGAAGCAGGAAGGCTTGCTGTAAATGTCTGCACAGGTTCTGAAGGTTCTGGCTGCAGCTTACTATAAGATCCCACACGGTTTAACCTCATTGGGGAAAAGTGGCAGTGAAATATTGACTTACGACACCATCTGAGCTAAAATAAGACATTTGCTGAACAAAACCTACTTTAGTGGATATTGGCATTGAGGTTTGAATGACCTGAACTGTTGGGAGAGAAATGGATACTTAGAAACGGATCAGAGCGTGGAAATACAAAGAATTAATGCCATTTTTTTTTTGGCTGTTTGACCGAAAAAGTAATATGTGGTGACAGAAAGAAGCATTAAAGAATACAGATGAGAATACACACTGAAAAAACTTTCAATTAAGTGTATTTACCCTTAATTTGAGAAGGTAAATGAGACAGTTTTGCAATAGAATGAACATTTTTACTCTTAAAATAAAATATTTAGATAAAATGCACTTAAAATAAGACAAGGCAATTGTTTTATCTTGTTTTAAATGTAAAATGTCTTGTTCCATTGGCAAAATGTCTCTTTTAGCTCCTCAATTCAAGAAAAAATGCACTTATTTTAAGAAAATAATGACCTTCAGATTTTGATTTTTTATCCAGTGCAATGAATGAAGCCACTCAGATTTCACACAGACAGCTTCCTGCTGCTGTTACTTAAAATTCAACATATACTAAGGAGGCTGAAACATTCTTATCTTTATGAAGCTCTGATCAATAGAGACAAGAGATGTCAGCCAATGAGGCCTGCAGAGCTTTGAGTCAGTCAGCC